TTTTCTTATTGTTTTATATTATTTATAATATCAATATATTTAAACGTGTTATTTACTGTACTATTAATTTAATACATTTAATATAACATTTATTTGATCATTATTCTAATTATTTTAAAACCCAACTCAAAACATAATATACGATCATAAAAATTATTGATTGATTGATTAACGCACTATCGTGGCAATCTTGCCAGAACTGCATTTTATACAGGGCATAATTGAGTTTTACCGTTTGTTGTCTACTGTATCCATGTATTTGTGTTTGTTTCCAGGGAAGAACATGCTTCTGGTCGGCGTTCACGGTCCTCTGACGCCCTGCGAGGAGATCCTGGTCAAACACACGGGAAACATGCAGTACAACATCAGCTACGTCTTAAAGGAGAGGGGCAACTACATTCTGGCTGTGAAATGGGGAGATGAACACATCCCAGGCTCCCCATTCCAAGTCACCGTCCCATAATTCCCTGCGGTTAATCAGAAACACTCCTGACAGAGAGAAAGACACTGTACAAAAACAACTAGAAGACCTTCTTCATTCTGCTGAACTTTGCACTTGATCAGGTTTTTGACTGGAATGTGACGCATTATGACGGAAACGTTGACGGCATTTTGTTATGATGCATGAATTGTACATTACTTCTATTTCTCGAATTTAGTTCAGCATTGCACGTCTAAAGATGAGTGTTGAAAAGTTAAAAGACGGTGTATGAACAAACTGATCAGGGTTTCACACCCAAACGTCTCTGTACTACTGATATTGAGTCGAATCGCTCGTCTCTTTCTAACAATACTGACACTTTTAATGCACATATTATAACCTTTCCATGTCTGTGTTTGATTCTCGCACATATTGAATAGTTTACATAAAAATTACTATACATCAAGATTTTAGACTCGCAAATCAACCCTCAAGACCAAAATATCGGATTTTCTGGCTTTTTGAAGACGCTAATACACAAAAGTCACAGTAATAGATTTATGCAGGGCTTTCACATTCTTTGTCTTAATTCTACTAGTTTTGATAGTCCAGTGGTGAAGTATTTTGTAAGTGTTTTAAGGGCAAGAGGGGACATTTAATTGCATTTTGTATTTAGCCGTTGGTGCCTTATTGTGAAACACGCGAGTAGATTCGATGTACATTTGCTTATTAAAACTGACTGGAATAAAGAATTCAAGAATATAGAAGCTACAGCCTCTCATTATTTATTGAGAGTGAAACTTTCAGAATTTTCTTTTA